CACAGCTGGTCACTGCGATGCGGAGCTGCTCACTGCGATGCACAGCTGGTCACTGCGATGCACATCTGCATTGGTTCCTTTTCTCTCCTTGCTGAGAGAAAATACGCCACACCCCAAATCAGGGAAGGAAAGGTTTACTCAGGGTTTATAGAGCTTTCATTCCATAATCAGCTGGATCCAAGGCAGGGTGGCATGGTACGCAGGCAACAGTTCAAGGTGGCAGGAGACAGTAAAAGCAACAAGAGCAAAAGCAGGGAAGAAGCCTCTTTTCTTCGCTTGTATTGTGTGTTCCCTTATATTGTGACTACCAGGGACTATAACTATCTGCTCACAACCCTAACATCTGCACAACTGAGCATGTTGTGGGGTAAGGACTCTGGCCGCCTGCTGAATCATTTAGTTGAAATTTTAAACTTCTGATGTTGGGCCGTGAAGATAGCTCAGCAGTCTAAGTGCCTGCCTAGGCAAGTGCAAGGACTGTGGTTCGATCTCCACATGCCGTGCAGGTCCCACCCTGGGCACACAGAGCTTGCCACCAAGACTGGGTGTGGTGGCACATGCCTGTAATCCCAGGACTGAGGAGGCTGAAACAGGAGGATCACTACAAGTCTGAGCTGTATAGTGAAATCTTGTACCAAATACATTAAAAAAAATTTTTTTTTCAGTAGCAGGGATTGAACTCAGGACCCTGCACTTGCCAGGCAAGTACTTATCCTACTGAGCTATCTCCCTGGTCCCTAAAATGATTTAAAAAAAATAGGTAAGCATCTAGACTCAAGTGGACACAATGTATCTACAACAATATTGCAAGAACCATCCCCCGCTCACAAGCCAGTCTGCCTCTGTGCCTCCCGCTTGCTTTTCCCATATAAACCCTAGACCACCAGAGATCAGGGCCTGATACGTTTGGAATGATCCTGATCAGTGCCGACTGAGAAAAATAAATCTGCCACCGGCATGGTGGCACACACCTGTCATCCCAGCACTCGGGAGGCTGAGCCAGGAGGATTGATGCAAGTCTGGGTCAATGAGTTCAAGGCCAGTCTGCATTGCATACGAGTTCCTGCATTGGAAAAAAGACATACACACACACACACACACACGTCTGCCTCCAAATCCTGGGTGTAACTTTGGTGTTTCTGCTTGTTCTATCATCTGGTGCATCAGCCAAGACAGACCATGGTGACCTTCTCAGTCCCTGGTTGTGGCCCTCCTGGGAGGTGCAAGGACTTTTCTAGGTCCCAACGGAAAGGTGTGCTCTCAAGATTTCTTGAGTCCCCTCAGAG